GTGCCTGTAATCCCAGCTACTCAGGAGGCTGAGGCAGGAGAATTGCCTGAACCCAGGAGGCGGAGGTTGCGGTGAGCCGAGATCGCGCCATTGCACTCCAGCCTGGGCAACAAGAGCGAAACTCAAAAAAAAAAAAAAAAAAAAAAGAGATCACTGTATTTCATTTCATAACAAGAACTTCGCTAGTAATTCATAAGTTTTAGGTGTCCCGCTTTATACGTATTATGCCATAAGTACCCTATCTGTAGTGGTAAGATATGCAACTTATCAGACCTTTCATTTCAGAAAGATTCAAAACTAGTATATTTTTAAACATACTCAGATTTTTTCAATTTATGATGATTTTTTTTTGAGATGGAGTCTCACTCTGTTGCCCAGGCTGAAGTGCAGTGGCACGATCTCAGCTCACTGCAACCTCTGCCTCCTCAGTTCAACTGATTCTTCTGCCTCAGCCTCCAGAGTAGCTGGGCTACAGGTGCACACCACCATGCCCGGCTATTTTTGTATTTTAAGTAGAGACAGGGTTCACCATACTGGCCAGGCTGGTCTCAAACTCCTGACCTCATGACTGGCCTGCCTTGGCCTCCCAAAGTGCTGAGTTTACAGATGTGAGCCACTGCGCCCAGCCAATAATTAAATTTTTTATGGAACTTCACCCTTTAAAGCATTTAGTATGTGCTATATGGTTTAATTCTTATACTCCAGGATAGAGGAATTACTATACTAATTTTGTAATTCTCAGAGGTAGGGAGGTTAATAAGTAATAGTTGCTTAAAGAGTAAGTAACAGCTGGAATTTGAACCCAACTCTTTTGACTTCAAGTTCAGTGTTCTTTCCATTCTTTGGCATTGCCTTAACTTTAATGTATTGATATGATTAAGGAAACTGAATTGTTTAATGCCTGCTATTTATCAGGACCTGTGCAAGGTAATTTGCGTTGGTTATCTCATGGCAGACAATCCTGAGAGGTGTTTATTATCCACATTTCATAGTTGTGGGAACTGTATTAGAGAAGGTAAAATACTTGCATAAGGCCCTAGAATTAAAACCAAGCTCTGTAAAGATAAAACTGATTCCCTGTATCTATGTGGAAGCAAAAAAAGAAAAAGAAAAATAAATAAAGAAAGAAAGCTAAAACCCATTTATGTTTCTGAAAGGAAAGAATCTGAGTTCCTTCACTAAACTAAGACAGTGGGATATGTTTGCTATGTTCTATTGTATCATAATGACATACTTTGTAAAGGCATGTCACTTGATGTACATCCAGATGTAGCTTAGAGTAACAAACATTTCTCATTCCATGGGTAAACAATATTAGTAATATAAACATTTTAACCATTCTGAAATAATACGGGAAAAATCACACACACACACACACTGATTTTTCTCTACCCTAATAGTAAACCTGTCTCCTCATTGGCTTTTCTTTCTTCCCTTTTCCCTCAGCTTAAAATTAGACAATCTTCTTCAATAAATATTGCTATTTTTCAGGCATGGTGGCTCACGCCTATAATCCCAGCACTTTGGGAGGCCGAGGCGGGCGGATAACCTGAGGTCAAGAGTTCGAGACCAACTTGACCAACATGGAGAAACCCCATCTCTACTGAAAATACAAAAATTGGCGAGGTATGGTGGGGCATACCTGTAATCCTAGCTACTCAGGAGGCTGAGGCAGGAGAATCGCTTGAACCTGGGAGGCGGAGGTTGTGGTAAGCCAAGACTGTGCCATTGCACCCCAGCCTGGGCAATAAGAGCGAAATTCCATCCCCAAAACAAAACAAAACCAAAAACCCAAAACCTGTGTTCACTGATTGTATAAAATACTTAATTTAGGCCGGGCGTGGTGGCTCACGCCTGTAATCCTAGCACTTTGGGAGGCCAAGGTGTGTGGATTTCCTGAGGTCAGGAGTTCAAGACCAGCATGGCCATCATGGTGAAATCCCATCTTTAAAAAAATAATAATAATAAAATAAAATACTTAATTTAAATTGGAGGAAATACATTCCTTGAAAGAGGAAAAACATCCTTGAAATTCTGAGTGGTCATTATGGCGGGAGAGTAGAGGAGAGACTCGATAAACAACCCAAATGCCAAAATCTAAGATTACAAACTGGACAGGTAGAAGCAGCTGAAGTTTTCCTGTTTCATTCTTCCCTTCAAAGAACCAGAAGTAGAGAGGTGTTACCTAGAAACTTTGGGGATAGACACACTTGTAATTATCATGGAATCATACAAGGGTAGAGAACTTTGTTACTCTTTCTTTTGGTTAATACCGCTCTTTGTTACAAACTACACTGATTTAAAATAAATT